TTCTTGTCAAGTGAACTGGTGAAGCATTCATTCAGGCAGTTAGGGTTTGTATGTGTGTGTTTTGGGGGAAGGAGGTGTTGTGTTTGCTGCAAAACTACCAAAAACAGCTAACCTACTGGAAAACAATGTGACTTCCAAGAGCAGAATCTAAGAACTTAGCAAGTTTTCAATCTTATTTGATCCTGGGAGCAGCTTTCTGTGGAAATCACTTTGGAAAATGTTCTAACATGATTTGAAACTCTCAAAGGTATCTCAAAATATTCATCCATTTTCAAAAGGAAGTACCCTAAATTAAAAATATATGTAACATTGATTCAATACAGACTATTTCAGATAAACCCAATACACTTGTATTTTAAATTTTACATTTGTGGAGCAGAATCAAAGAAAATATACAAGTCTTCTTGCACTGAAGTCTTACAACTAACTACAAGTTCACTGGGGAGACCATTTCTCTAGTGCCTACTTTCAGTCATGTGAGTAGTCACAGCATGAAAATATACTAGTGCAAAAATCTGTCTGCCTGTGAGAGAAGGAACCTGTTCTCCTGGTAAATAGAACGTGGATCCTTCTATCTACTTCTTTCACTATTATTTTCTGTGGGCTATTTAATTTCTTGCAGTGTTTGTTGATAAATTTTTAAAGTACCTGGACAAACTAACCAAAGATGAGCTGCCTGAGACAGCCTGTGTTTAATCAGCCTGCAGTGGTGTTGCATTCTTACTGGGTCTTGCTATGTACCAGCAGTTTTAGCTGCAATTAGCTATAGGATTTAGGTTCAGCAATGAAGCAATTTGATGAATTACTATCTCATTTGTACACTATCAGGAGTACCTGTTCATTGAATCTTTTAAACTAAGTAGGAATATGTTTATGCTATTCCTGTGCTCAGTGCTTTATGAATGATATGGCTAATTTGCTGTTTATTTAGTAAGATCTGCACTAAGATAGCTTAGCACAAGACTTGGCATAGTTATTGAATTTAAGGACACAAAGATGTATACAGAATCCAGGTAACTCTCTGCTGAGTATTGTTCAAAGGCAAAGTCTTGGGTAAGCTTTAATCTTTTCTCTCAGTAAGTGATGGTTATTTCCAAAGGGTAGTATCATAGAAAACAAAGTGACAGTTATTTCTTTCCCTTTTTTAGGTATCTATTTGTGTGTATTTTGCTCTAGCTTGGCATTACAGTCAGGGAGAGTGATCCCAGGTGCTGTCTGTCATTAACATGATCGTGTGGTTTCTAATGCACATGGAAACCAGCATCTTTGTTACCTTTCACTACTTTATTAAAGTCACTGTATTACAGTTGTTAGATGTGTTTAAATAACCACAATTGGGAAAGCAAACTGCCTGTGAAAGATTTTTGTTCTTTCTCTACTACATAGAACTGCCTTTGACTTCGCTCAGAGAAGAGGGCAGAACAGGAACCTGTACAGTGATTCATGAGAGTGGATAGAAGTGAATGATTAGTTCATGTGCCTCTAGTCTCCACTAATGGCATAAATCCTTAGGGAAGTTCTTTTATGCCAGGCTGTATGCCTGCCCATGTCAAATCATATATAGGCTAGCATATATTATGAACTGAGAAATCTGAGGAATGAACAAAGATTCCTTTGTACAGCTGCTCATTTATTAAACATGTGACATGGACTGGAGGATGTAGGTGGAAAGCAGAATGCTGCTCTCTCTTGACCACAGAAGCTGAATTTGCATACTTATAAACACAAAGACCACTCATGTAGGGTGAAATAACTTTTTGTAATGAGAGGGGAAATGTGAATTGATTGTAGGCTAAGACCTATCCTTGACTTCTCAAGTCCACAAAGTAGTTTATTCCCAGATTGAAAATTTTAAGGTCTGTTGATTCTGAAAATAATGAGGAAGGCAATGAATATATAGCAAGACTGGATAAGAAAGCTTACTACTGCATCATTTAAATCAGTGGATTTTCTAACAGTTATCCTCTCCCTGGGGTAATAACATGTATATATTCTGTTTCCTTTGCATTATATGATACAAATTGAAGACTCTCCTCTCAGGGAATTAATATCCACAAGTTGAAAAGTATTTCCTTCATCATTCTTTATGGAAGTTAGCTGGAGTATCAAACATACTAATGCATTCAGCTAGCCACTAACACACTGTTAAGCAGGCCCCAAACAGAGGGAAGAAAAGCATCAATTAAGACTGAAAAATTTTCACACACTGAAAATAAGACCAGCAGATGACCAATGAGTCCTTCCTTGATAAGTAACTATAAAACCACCCTCTAATAATAGGTTGCTTTGGCAGAGATATTGTTAACACACACACACACACACACACAGTGGAGGAGGGAGGGAGAGAAGGGGGTGGGGGGGAGTCTGGGCCATGTTCCTAACCTTCTCATGCTTTCTTGATTCCTTTACCCTCTGCCACCTAATGCTCAGAAGACTACTGGCTACTCTAACCCCTCTGACAAAAATGAATTTTCAGATGGGGACTCTCAGAGTACAGCACTTAAACAGGAAACCAGGGCCCACCTACCTGAAAAGTCACCACCACTGACCACTACATTCTCAGGGACTCAGAATTTCTCCAGGAATCCCTCACATCAACTCTTATAAAGGGTGGCTTTGTTACTTTTAGAACTTGTTACAGGGCACTATGTTTGGCCTCTAGGGTTGATCATGTGCATTACAGTTAGTAACTCTGTCTTCAGAGAGGGCTGTCTCTAGAGTGGAGGGAGGTGTGAAACAACAAAACTCAACTCTGTGTAGCAAACTACTCAGTGTAAATCAGTCTGGGGAGATGGGGAGGCACCGTATGCAATGATGTCTTAAGTAAAAACTGGGTTTTAGGGAACAATGGCTACAGAGAAGCAGCTGTGTTTCTCCTTGTGTGGCCCCTTCATGTAGTGTGGGTCTCAAACGCACCATCCCACTGCTGTCAGTCTGATTTAAGGGATGAGAAACTGAAAGGCCATCATGAGACAGACTTTATTTCTTAGAGAAGTTTAGGTTTATGGGAAAGGAAGCAGAGCCCTCTTATCCACCACCATCCCTACCCTGCTACAGTTGCCCCCTGTATCTTGCGTTTGTATGGCCTGTTTGTTACAAGTAATGAACCCATAGTGATACATTATTATTACCTAAAATACATAATGGGCTTCATCGTTCTCTCTCATTGTTTCACATTCTGTGGGTTTTGACACATGCATAATGTCAGATATTCACCATAACAGTGTCACCCAGAAGAGCTTTGCTGCCCTAAAAACACCATGTTCCACCCATTCATTCCCACCTGCCTTCATAAGTATGACAGCACCCTGACATCTGCCCCCAGAGCCTTTGAGGGCATGCACCACCAGCCTGTGGAGTTGATGCTCGTTTACCCTCCAATTACCAGCACAAGCCTAATTCCTCAGGGAACCCCTTGCTTACCCTCTGACCCCACTTGTCATTCTGCAGAAGTATTTGTTTTCCATGTACTCATCACAGTGTTTATGTACGTACATGTGTCAGTAATGTGTCCCTGTCACTAGCATGGAGGTTCAAAAATGAGATTACAGCTAGATGAATAAGGCTAGTTCAAATTTAATTCCACAGTCTCATTTCTGACACTTAGTTGTGTAATCTGCATCACAATACATTGTGCTCCCTGTCCACACATCCAAGGTTGTCTGTGTACATCTAATCTACACGTCACCTATCTTCTCTCCTAATGATTGACAACAAGCTCAGAATTTTATGTTTCATTGAAAAGTTCCTTGTGTTGATTATGTTTAGTCCCTTTTAATTGAATTCATGACCTTCTGATTTAATGATCAATTGGAATATAAAACATACCCTAGGAATATCTATATGAATTATAAACATAGTAAGGATCTGAATGGGCCTGTGTTGAGCTTCAAGGACTAATATGTGCTCTTGACAATTGTTTTACTAAAAGAACAAACTTGATACAATGAGAGCCTACTCTAATTTGAGGCTCCATAAAGAGCACTATAGAATTCTCAGAAACCTGCAACATAGAATACAAAATATATTGTTGAAATAAAAGTGAAATGACTGCACAAGGGGACCCAAATGCCTTATTATTGTAATATATATTGAGAATACTTAAGACATTGTTTTATTAAAATGGAGTATATCTGGCATTCTATGACTTATGAAAAATAACTATACTGTTATTGAATGTATACCTTGGTGTTTTCATATAAGAATTGAGATATCTTACTATAAATTCAATTTACCCTAAGGATAATGAACAGAATAGAAATGGAGAATCATTACTTTGGGGAATAGGGACTATTCAAGTGTTCTATTTAAAAAGTGAAAGCATTGCTACCTTGGTTGAATATTTGAGTTAACTTTGACATCCCTGTAACCTGAAAAATTGAAACATGGTGAATTATATATGTTTTCATAGTCAGAATGAAAGCAGTATGCAGTTCCTCATGGAAAATACTATATTTTTGATAGAGGTACTTCTCATCAAGCATGTGCTGTAGTATTAGAATAGATTGACCACTAGGAGATCGACACTGAGTTCAGAAATTTACCAACCCAGTTATCAGATAAACAGATTTTTTTACTTAGGAAGCAATGTTTATCTGTGCTTGAACAAGTGTTTGGTTAACACTTGAGAAATCTGTAGCACAAAGTTCTGCATCTTTAGATGTGAGCTTGGTTTTGACTTTGGAATTGGTTCTTGGAATTTGTGGATAAGCTGAGAATTCTTGTTAGCTGTGTGGTCCTGGAAACATTTTAACTCTGCAAGTTTTTATTTTCTCCTATATAAAACTAATTAAACAATAGGTTTCCTTGTAAAATTGTTGTCAGGTGAAAGTTCTTAGGATTATTTAGCACATAGAACATATATTTATCTTTAGATTCAGTATGATAAAGCATATGAAAGCCCAAGGGGGTACCTGGCACAGACTGTCGGGTCCTCAATGCACATTAACATCCTTTCCTTGCTCTTTCTGCTCTTATTGACTGTTCCTTCTCTACTTCAGGGAAAGAACAAATTGTGTGTAGACACTGGAATGGAAGGAGACTGGTGTGGCCTTATTCCCGTTGGACAGCCCTGCAACCGGGTGACAACAACAGGCCTGAAGTGGAACCTCAGTAAGTGAAACCCTTCAATAAAGGGAGATCTTTCTTTATTCCCCCCCCCTTAATATGTCTTTGGTATGTACTTAAGAGAAGAATTTCTGGCTCATATGGTAACTCTTATACTTGCTGAGGAACTACCAGACTGTTTTCCAAGTACCTGCATCACTCCACATTCCCACCAGCAATATATAAGTTTTCTAGTTTCTTGGCATCTTCAGCAACAGTTGCTATTATCTGTTTTTTTGGTTGATTGGGTTTTTTGTTTTTGTTGTTTTACTTGTTGCCATACTAGTGGGTATGAAGGTGATATTTCACTGAGGTTTTGATTTGCATTTCCCTGATGAGTAATGATGCTAAATATCTCTTTTTTGTTTGGGGGGGCATTTGTATATCTTTCTTGGAGAAATTTATGCTCAGGTTTCTTTGCTCATATTTTAATTGGGTTAGTCTCTTTTATACATTGAATTGTAAGAGGCCTTTATATATTCTAGTTACAAATCCTTTGTCAAATATTTGACTTGCACATATTTTCTCAGAGTCCTTGGTTTGTTTTTTTTTTTATTGTTAGAAATGTAATTTGAATGAAGTCCATTTTTTTAATGGATTATGCTTTTGGTGTCGTGTGTAAAAACTCTTTGTCCAGCCTTCTTCATGATTTTGTGTGCTTGAAAACTTTTTTACTTTTCTAGAAAGTAGAAAACTTGCTAACATAGCAAGTTTCTTTCATAATCCAAACTCTGAGATATTGAAAGATTAGCAGCTCTTTTTAAACTTTTTTCCAATAATTATGAATGGTATTAGTTTCTAGTTGTACTAAAACTGATTTCAAGAGAACTAAAAGGAAGTGGGATATGTTCATGAAAAATTGCTGACTCCAAAACAATCAATCAAGTGTTAATGAAATTAATCAACTCCCACCTCTTTAAGAATAACAATAACTGAAGCAGGAGCTCTGATTGAATGTCAAAGGGATCATTCCCATGATGGACCGATATCTCTAAGGTATTACAAATAAAATGCAGAACCATGCCATTGTTTTTCTTTTTAAGATTTATTTTATTTTATTGAAAGGTAGAATTACATAGAGAGGGGGAGAGACAAAAAGAAAGATCTTCCATCTGCAGGTTCACTCCTCAAATGGCTGCAATGGTCATTGTTGGGCCAGACCATAGCCAAGAGCCAGGATCTTCCTCCAGGTACCACAGGGGTGAAGGGGCCCAAACGCTTAATCCATCTTTCACTGATCTTTCCAAGCCATCAGCAGGGATCTGGGTTGGAAGTGGAGCAGCCAGGAATCAAACCAGTACCCACAGGGGATGACAGTGCTGTAAGTGGGGGCTTTACCTGCTAAATCACAACACCAGAACCCATATCATTCCTTTCTAACATGTAAAACTTGAGATTCTCACAATGAATTTTTCTAAAAAATTTGGAGAGTCTTTAGAAGTTCATATTTTGAAAAAACATGCATGGATTTCAAAAACAATGAGCACTTGGCCGGCGCCGCAGCTCACTAGGCTAATCCTCCGCCTTGCGGCGCCGGCACACCGGGTTCTAGTCCCGGTCGGAGCGCCGGATTCTGTCCTGGTTGCCCCTCTTCCAGGCCAGCTCTCTGCAGTGGCCAGGGAGTGCAGTGGAGGATGGCCCAAGTGCTTGGGCCCCTGCACCCCATGGGAGACCAGGATAAGTACCTGGCTCCTGCCATCGGATCAGCGCAGTGCGCCAGCCGTGGCAGCCATTGGAGGGTGAACCAACCGCAAAGGAACCTTTCTCTCTGTCTCTCTCTCACTGTCCACTCTGCCTGTCAAAAAAATTTTTAAAAAAATAAAAATAAAAAATAAAAAAAAATGAGCACCAAAATAAACTTACCTTGTAACTCCATTCTTCCACAAACTTTTTGAAGTACCCTTATAAATATTTTGAAGATAAAAATATATTTTCAAAAAGAACCTTTTATGAGCCACTGCTGAAACAATTAGGAAAAACTAGAGATATTTTGAAATAAATGTCTAGGGAGCTCATCAGAATTTGAAAGGCCTGTGAGAACAGATCTCTTCCAGTGCACAGAAATATGTGACAGGCTTTTGAAGCTGTTTAGCTGAAACTGACAGGAGTTCCCTTTAGCAGCATTTTTGAAAACATCTCAGCCTAGAACGATTGTTTTACATTTTGTAGCGTTCCCATGATTTCTAAAGACCCATCTAGGAAATAGTGAACTTCTTCCTGGCTCTATTAGTGACAACACTTTTCAGGGCTGGCACCAGGACAGAGGGATCACTTAGGACAGGGGAGCACCTGCACCGTAAGCCATTGCCCCAGCATCCCGGAGTCTATACATCAGATGCAGTTCTTCTGGGCTCCTTAGATCTGTATTTCATAGTGAATTGCACATCCTTATTCTGTATATTAACTTTTCCTCTGAAAAAGGAACTTTTGTATGATGAAAGTAGGACTCAACCTCCTTGTGATACTATTTTTTCAGTTATTGATTTGAAAGATTTTATCTATGTATTTATTAGTTTATTGAAAGGGAGAGACAGAGAGATCTATCTTCTGGCCCACTCACCAAATGGCCGCAAAGGTCAGAGCTGAGCCAGACCAAAGCCAGGAGCCAAGAGACACCTCTGGGTCTCCCCCATGGATGCAGAGGCCCAATCACCTGGGCCACCCACCACTGCTTTCCCAGGTGCATCAACAGGGAGCTGTATCAAAAGTGAAGCAGCCAGGACTTGAACTGGCACCCATATGGGATGCCGGCCCTGCAGGCAGTAGCTTTACCCCTTATACCACAATGCCAGGCCCAGCGATATGATTTTTAAATCCTACATAAATGAAATATACTATTATTTAACTGGATAGTTAGGTTGCTTTGACTTTTGAAATAATTATTTTACTCCACAATATTCTGAGTGTATATATATATATATATATATATATATATATATATATATCAATCAAGAAGCTTCCAGTCTGCAAAGCAACAGAGTTGAAACACAAAATCTTTCTTCAGTTGTCTATGGTAGAAGTACTAACTTATGAGTCCTTCTAACTGATGGGTAGAATTACTTCATGAAATGGTAATAAAAAAAAATGAATGACACCATGTTGAGTTGAAGTGGATAAATTTGCTGCTTTACTCAGAACCACTGCCTTTGGAAGCAGAACACTGAGATTGGTGTTATTTCGTCAGTCGTAGCTACAGAGTGAAAGGACAGAACTGGGATTGGAGAAGGAGCCAGGATGGCAGTGATTTAGGCAGGGCTGCTGACTTCTTGGGTTCAGAAGCGTAGGCAGGTCCCCCCAGGTGGCTTTAGGACATGATCTTTTCCAGTGTACACTCATTAGTTCAGGAGCTATGATCCAGAAGCAGTGTAATTTATCTGTTACCAATTTGCAGTATCTCACATCACATTGTGACTTTAAAAATAGTACAAAAGACACTTGTACCTATGTATCTATCACCTAGATGTGAAACTCTCCAAATATTACTGAAGCTACCAATCTTTGCAGTGTTTCATTTCATAAAATACGGTGTGAACTTTCTTTGACCTGTGTCTTGTGTAATGGATTGTCTAGGACCTATACATGTGGGAGTGAAAGGGCTGCCTCATAGCCAGTTGCATCTTCTCCATTACTAGATACACGTAGTGTTGGACACAGTGGGTGCATTCAGCCCACAAGAGCTTCCCTAGGCCACAGGCTCACCAGTTCTTAGTGTGGTCACAATGAATCATTTTTGTTCAAACTAATGAGTCTGAATGGTATTTCTTTGCGGTAGTGAGAGTGAGGATCTTTTTCTAGTTATTTTCTGTGCTTTTCTCCTCTGTCTGGATTACTGTTTCTTATGCCTAGCTTTTCCACTGGGCTGTTAGCCTTTAGAAGTTCTTCAGAACGTAACAGTCTTCCTTCTGGCTATATTCTTGGTTTGCATCTTGTTCCTTTTCAATGGTTTAAAATGTTTAAGGAGAGTTTGTAAATATCAGAAATGGATGCAAATTATGTGATATGTTAAGTTGTAAAAAATTGTGCCATAATTTAGTTGGCAGTATTATTTTTCTTAGAAAAATATTTTAAAATTAGTGCATATTGTAATAAATGGTATCTTATATAGGGTAAATGCAATATGGTGATTATCTCATCATTCTACTTTGTCTCATAGTCTTATTCTGCTATGTTTAATATTTGTTTTATTCTAACTCCTGATATGTTAGCATATTTTCTCCTGTGTTTTACAGGAGAATATTTCAGGTTTTATCTTTAGAAAACATTAGAGAGTTGAGGGTATCTTTGATGAGATCTTAAGTGCCTCTTCCAGTGCCCTGGAACACTTTTCTCTGTAGATTTATGGTTTTCCCAAAGATATTTCCAGTATAAATTCTAGGCACAAAGAACTGAAGTATCTTTTTTTGTCTGTTGCCTGGATCAAAGCTCAGGCCATGGTAGGTAACTCATCTTACACTGAACTTTCCCTAAGGTGCCAACTAGTTACTAATTGCTAAGGTCTAAAAGATTGTTTCTTCCAATTCATATGTTGAAATCCTAACCCTCACCGTGATAGTATTAAGAAGTGGGTGCTTTGGCAGGTCATGAGGTAATGAGGGAAGAGCCCTCATGTGAAGTCTCTGTGCCTCTCTATGCAAAGCTTAAGAGGGACTCTGTGCCTTCCTCCATGTTGAGGACAGAGAAATGGTGCTGATCATGAACCAAGAAATGGGCCCTGGCCAGGCATCAAATCTACCAGGCCCTTTATCTTGGACTTCTCAGCCTCAAGAACTATGAGAAATAAATTTATCTGCCTTCTAAACTATCTAGTTGATGACATTTTAGTATAAACTCTAATAAAACACTCAGACATAGGAGTATCCCTCTATGAAACATGTAGCCCCAGGGCTAATGTTGCAGTGCACTGACAGCATCTAATGTCAGAGTGCTGGCTATGCTGATTCTGATTCAGCTTCCTGCTAATACACATGGGAAGGCAGAGAAAGATGGCCCAAGTACCAGAGTCCTTG